GAAGAACTGCAGCCTACAGGAAGGACTCGCATCAGAGAAGTTTGTGGAGGACTGTCTCCTGTAGGAAGGACCCCATGCTGGAGCAGGGGAAGCATGTGAGGAGTCTTCCCCCTGGGGAGGAAGGAGCAGCTGAGACAACATGTGATGAACTGACCACAACCCCCATTTCTTGTCCCCCTGCACTGCAGGTGGGGAGGAGGTAGAGAAAATCAGGAGTGAAGTTGAACCCAGGAAGAAGGGAGGGGTGGGGGGAAGGTGTTTTTAAGATTTGGGTTTATTTCTTATTATCCTACCCTGATTTGATTGATAACAAATTAAATTGATTTTTCCCCAAGTTGAGTCTGTTTGGCCCATGACCATAATTGGTGAGTGATCCCTCCCTGTCTCGACCCGTGAACCTTTTGTTATATTTTCTCCTCCCTGTTCCACGGGTGATGGGTGTGAGTGGCTGTGTGGCACTTGTTTCCGACTGGGCCTAAACCAAGATGGCACCCCTGTAAATTAAAAAGTAACATTATTATGAGCAAAAAGCTCCATAAAATCCTTGGGTGACTAACATAGTTTGACAGTCTTACTTACAAGTGGAATAAAGGGATAGCTCTAAGTTAGGCCTGAAAGTATAACAAGTATGGGGGGTGACTGACAGAAGATGAACAAATCCAAAAATTGAGGTTTTGTCAAAAAATACTCTGCTGTCAGTTTGGAGACACAATAGCTGAAGGGCCCCTGCAGATCTTGAGTCTGACACTATTTCAGGAGGAGATTGTTCTCACTAGTAACTAACAGCAAATTTGATCTATTGACCTTTAGGTTTTGAATTCCTTTAATTTGTGTTTTATCTACTCACACTTAGTATTTTTAACTCAATGTTTTCATAGGCTTTATTCAAAGAGTTGGAAGGCAATGTGAATTGGATGGCCATCCCTTTGCCTTGTAGTTTGTGTCACATTAGAAGTTGACTTTGTTTGTAACATTCTCTTACTCAAATAGTCTGTGCAGGTCTTCTACCAATGTAGACATGATATGATCAAGCCCAGGTGAGGAGCTGCACATACATCTTGCTCTGTGCATCACAAAAAAAATACTTCAAGTAGTTGAAGAGTTTTAACATAACACTTTTATGCATGGTTGATGGTATCTTTTCTCAGGAACATCTCTGCAGCTGTGTGTAGGTGGAGACTTGTGCATGGATAGCAAGAATATTATGGATGAGTCTGGAATGGGTGAGAGAAGCCAAGAGCGCTGGAAACTGGGACACAAACTGAAATTGGGAGGATGAGCTGTGACTCTACAAGGACTGCAAGTGGCTAGAAAAGAAGATGAGCAAAAAGAGCTTTAAGAAGAGCATTGGGACATAACACAGTAAATGTAGTAAATGAACTTGTGGAATGGTAACAGAGTATTAGGGCAGAAGGATTCAGGAGGCTCTCAATTTTGATCCTCCAGTGTTGGTCTATAGAGCTGTTGCAGCTGTTTCTAACACAGAGAATGGGTCTGGATGCATGCTTTCTAGAAGCATCAGTTTTCTCACTGTGCTGCACTGGGATGGGATAATTTGGTTTAGGTGTTGCCCACATTCACCAAACGGACGTGTCAGTTCTTGTGGAATGGAATCTGAGATGCTGTAAAATGTTTCTTCAGTGATAAGGACCACTGAACATTTTATTTAATTTGTTGGTTTTATTTTGCGTAACTGAGATCTGGTCTGGAAAACATTTTCTTTGTATTGCTATAATGCAGTTATTGGACTGGAAAATTACTTTCAGATCTCTAGCCCACTATTACTCCTTGAAAGCATTTTCAAAACACTGGTACTTATTTGCTGTGGGCAGATTGGATTACACCAAGCCTAAAATTTTACCTTGTTGTTCTGATTATATTTTACAGAATCTGGGAGAGGCATAGCTGGCAGCTTCTCCTCCTTTTCTCTGTGTGTGAGGGCTCTCCTCATGGGAATGCATAAACCCTGCGATCAGGAGTGATGAGCACAGTGTGAACGGGGTAGCTCTGAAGAAACTGCAGTGCCTTATAGTCATGTTTACTGAAGAGTAATAATGGAGAGTGCTAAAGCCTTTGCAGTGTCTCCATAAATCTTCTTTTAGTGTTTCTGAACAAAACTATGAAATAACCCATACACACAGTTCTGTCAAACACAGAAGGAAAGAAACTAAAGGAATAATTTATCTGTCTGAAAGAGCAGTAAATATTTGTGCTTCTTATTATAGTAGAAAGTAGGTAGTTTTAAAAAAATTGTTTCAAAACAGTTGCGATGCCTGAAACACCTACAATTTGTATCTGCAGTCTTCCAGTGCTTTGTAATCCTTTAGTGACCATATCCCGTCCCTTGTGAGTCTGGGAGATACTGTCATCTCAGCTATAGGAACTGTGAAACATACTTAGGAACTGAGACACAAACTCAGTGTGGTATTTCAGATCACCCAGAATATCTGTGCAGAGCAGGGAATTGAACTAAGGATTTTCTAGGTCTAAGCTTTAGTTGTAATGATTAAATAATCTGTTGTGCTCCAGCTCTAGCACTGCTGACATCTTCTGTGTGATTCTTTCCCGTTTCAAGCGGGGACAGGGAGGTGGAATTCCTGAGGTGGTAGCTCTCAAACTAACAGACTTATTTAATGCTTGTAAAGCTTTTAATATTTCCTACCTGAGAACCTCACAAAAATGAAATTAGATGGAAGATTTTCATGGCCAAGTCAGTATCTTAATACCATAATTGGATTTGTGTAAATGTATTTTAGGTCTCCTATGTGATTAGAGATGAAGTGGAGAAGTATAACCGAAATGGGGTAAATGCACTCCAGCTGGATCCAGCATTAAATAGACTCTTCACGGCAGGCCGAGACTCCATTATAAGGATATGGAGTGTCAATCAGCACAAGGTAAGTCAAGAGAGGATTCCTAGGTCTACGCTTACTTTTTTCCAAGTTATCATGCTAATAAGCTGCCTACAGGTATACATCTGATATTGTTTTTTAACAGCTGACAATTATTATGGTAGGAAAATCATTTTGCTATTGCTCATATTGTAACAAAATGTGGGGATTTTACAAACCTACATTTGGGCTTATCCTCCAGTGAGCTAGTCACAGCTGAGAGAAAGTTAAATACAAAGTGATGTCATTTGCAGTGATGAAGGAGACAAATACAGTCACTAGGAACATACAATTTGATGGACTGTTTACTTTGGTCAATGAGTATTTTGTATATTTTGATATTTTGGGAGAATCTTGTCATCTTCTCCCCTTTATGAACTAAATGTTACCTTTACTTTGAAGGAAAAAAGGAAGCATCTCTTGATCCACTTACTTTCACCATTGTTTAATAACTAAAGACAGTTTATTAGAAGACACTGTTGTGTTTAGGAGAGAGAACTAAATTAGTAGTCAGAGAATGCTTGAGGTTAGAAGGGGCCTCTGGAGGTCATCTGGTCCAGCCCCCCTGCTCAAGCAGGGCCACCTAGATAGAGCCTGTTACCCACCACCATGTCCAGATGGCTTTTGAATATCTCCAAGGATGGAGACTCCACAACCTCCCCAGGCAGCCTGTGCTGGTGCTCAGTTACCCTCACAGTAGAAGAGTGTTTCCTGATGTTCAGAATGAACCTCTTGTGTTTCAGTTTGTGCCCATGGCCTCTGATCCTGCCACTGGGCACCACTGAAAAGACCCTGGCTCTTCCTTTTTCACACACTCCCTTCAGGTATTTATATACATTGATGAGATCCCCCCTGAGCCTTCTCTTCTCCAGGCTGAACAGTCCCAGACCTCTCAGCCTTGCTGTATAGCAGAGATGCTTCAGTCCCTTAATGATTTTTGTGGCCCTTCACTGGACTCTCTGCAGTCTGTCCATGTCTCTCTTGTATTGGGGAGCCCAGAACTGGACCCAGTACTTCAGATGTTCCCTCACCAGTGCTGAATAGAGGGGAAGGATCACCTCCCTTGACCTGCTGGCCGTGCTTTGCGTAATGCAGCCCAAGATGACATTCGCCTTCCTTGTCACAAGGAAATGTTGCTGGTTCATGTTCACCTTGGTGTCCACAAGGACCCCCCAGGTCCTTTTCTGCACAGCAGATTTCCAGCTGGGTGGTCCCCAGCATATACTGGTGTGCGTACCACTGACCAAAAGGCCAGTGTTAGGAACTTGAGCAGATTACTGGAAACCAGGTCTTGCATGTGAAAGGTGCAGAATGTAAAAGTTCGTGAAGTTCATGACTTGGAGAGATCCCAAGAGACCATTGTGTTGTGTTTTCATTGTTCTGTTCCTCTTCACAGCAGAACAAGTCCAGTCCCATAAATGCAGAAATAGCATTAGCTTAGTGACCCCTCTTGTTCTGGTTATAAGTTTTTCTGTGATTCAAAACCAAACACTTTAAGGTAAAATTATATATGAAATGAAACTGCATTTAAAATATATAAATATTACAATGAAAACTAATTTGTGATATCTTACATAGCTGTATAGTTGTTTCACAAAAAGTTCTGGAATAGTGAGTTCAAGCAACTCTACATTAGGGAACTTTTGATCCACTTGAAGTTTGAAGAAAATGTCACAACAGGATCTGATAGTCACAGTCTTTTCCATTTGTGATGAGATCTGATAAACATTTTTTTTCTTAATTTGCAGCAAGACCCTTACATAGCATCTATGGAACATCACACAGATTGGGTAAATGATATTGTGCTCTGCTGCAATGGTAAAACATGTAAGTACTCAACTGCTTGAAAACTACATTGTTTAGCAATTGTGTATAAAAGTATATTATCTACAGCTTTAATTATTTGCTATCTTTTCTTAGCATGTAAAATTCATTTCTATGATGTGTATTGTACATTTAGTAAATAATATAAGCAGGTGTTTGGATTAAAATTTAAATGTGTATGTTTATATGTGATTCATTTAATATTAAAAAAAAAAGAATAGCACAAATATGCTCTAAAAGAATACAAAAGCCATTAAAGTTTACTCTTTATTCTTTCCAATTTAGTGATATCTGCTTCTTCAGATACTACTGTTAAAGTGTGGAATGCACATAAGGGATTTTGCATGTCAACACTGAGAACGCATAAGGTGAAAAACGTTATCTGTAAATACTGTATGTTATCATTGACAGTCTTATTAACATGTAGAGTTCAAATGGATAATATTGTTGATCCACATTGTTATATTTATTGTAGGATTATGTGAAAGCCTTAGCATACGCAAAAGATAAAGAGCTGGTAGCATCTGCCGGGCTGGACAGACAGATATTCCTCTGGGATGTAAATACTCTAACAGCACTGACTGCCTCAAATAACACCGTAACAAGTAGGTACCTGGGGAGTGGGCAGGCAGATGAAATGCATTCTATTGAGTAGCATAACCTGTGAGATCAGTTTAAAACTATAGATACCTGTTTCTGAGTGTACAGAAAAAATGCGCAAGAAATTTTAAGGTGGCTTTAGTATATACTCAGTCCATTTGTTGTGTTATATAAACAGCTGAAAATCTAGAGCAGCTGACAGTCCTTCCATTCAGAATAGAGGACAGGTCTCTTTGAACATTTTCTCCTGAAGTGTAGTGTGCTGGTATTGTCTGAAACTTGATAGAGTGTAAGCTTAAGAATCTTTTTGCTTCTCAACTAACCTGTTTTAGAAACTTTCCCTTAGGTTATTTGTCAGTGCATTTTCTGTGTATTATAATTTGCTTGTTTTTTGGTTTGGATTTTTGTTTGTTTATATAGATGCTGCCAAAAGTACAGTACAGCTCCTAAAGCAGAACCTGATACATGTAATCAAATCGATCTCTCCGAAGAATAAAGTTACTAGATAAATTTAGATTTGAAAAGGTGCGAAGTAATACTAAGCACTAGTTACATGTAAGGATAGCATGCTAGTGAGATCTAACTCAGTAGTTAGATATTAGAACCCAAGGGGAAACTGTCTGTAGATTCTGCTTATCAGGGTTAATCCTTAATGTCGTCGTCATCATCTTTTAAGAAGTGATCTGTCCTGCTTCTCTATCCCAATAAAGACATTACAATAAATTATGAGATCTTTCCCCATTGAGAAATTCCAGCACCACTTTCTTAGAATAGTTAAGATAGCGCTGATTGAGTTTCTCTTCTGGGAAGTATGACACCAGTCTTCGAGTTCAGCTAGATTTAATTGCTCATGTGAATCGCATATATCTGTGTCATTAGCCTCCTGGTTTGTCTTGGCTATTTTACAATATATTTTTTCAGAAGGAAGTCTAGTTTGACCACGGTGTTTTGTAGGTTGGAAAAATAGTGTTCAAAGTGACTGATCTCTTTCATTTTATACTTAGTGTTTGATACATGGTTAAACAGTAGCAGTCTCAGATGTATAAAGAATATACCATCTTGCTTCACTGCCACACTTGAATTTTCTAAATATGACTACTTGCTTTCTCATTCATAGGTCAGGAATGACTCAAGAAAAATCTGCAAAACTAAAATTTGGAATTGGCGAAACAAACTTTTAAGACACTTCAGGAATATGTGAATCTATATATAAAAGGGAGGCATATAGGTGTTTTGGTGTGTTTTTTGAATTACTGTTCTGGCTAATTCTGCAAAGTGTGTAAATTCGTGGATTTGGTAGCTTCTAAAACCAAACGTGCATGTGGTGGGCAGAACTGTCTGGTTTGCATTTGTTCTGTCTACAGGGCTTTTTAATTCAAGTATATCCTTATGCTGGTATGTCTGTGTAGCCATCAGAAAGAGATGGCTTCTGGTGAGCTGTTATGCTGTGTGATGGCATTGCAATGGCATTGGGATGGCACATGATGGCACATAACTATGTAGGTTTACCTTATATTTCCCAGAAGTTTTCTTTCACTGAAAGTAGAATTATGTTATCACCAAACTTTGCTGGTAACTGGAAGTTATGCTATCTTCTGGTTGAACAGGGAGATTTTGAAGGAAGAATTAATTTGCTGGCTCACAGGAAAACTCAGTTGTGGAGGCGGGGGGGGGAAAGAATTTCTTGAACACTGTAGCAGTGATACAGAACCAAAATTATTCAAGTGAATCATAAATGGGAGACAGGCAGTACTGAGAAGCTAATGCTTGTGTTGAACCCAAGATCAAATGGAAGTGAAGATATTACCTCTAAGATGACAGAAATAAAATTACATTTCTAGAGTTACAGCTTCATAAGGGGGAGGAAAGGGAAGCGGGGGAGTTGTTCTTCTTTCTTTCTAGCACTCCCAACTAACAGTGTTTCTGTTGGGAAGAGCATGGTGTATGTCCTTAAAGAAGCTGGTTTTCCTTGGTACGTTCAAACAATATTGATTTTTTTTCAGAGTGCAAATGAAGATTGTTCTTGTGCATTAATTTTCTGTCTGATTACAAGGAAGCATAGTACACAAGCTAGCATTAAAAGGAAGCCTATTTTTAAAGAGTGTCTCAGTCAGCATAGCCATAATTTAAATTAAGTGGAGAGATTTCACTGTTGAGAGGCAGTCCCTTCCAAAAGAGGGTGGAGTTGAGCTTTGCTTTTGTTCTGGCATAAATTTTGCTTCTGTACACTTAAGATTCTCCGTTCCATTCCTGATGTCCAGCTTGTGATAACTCTGTACATTATCCTTTCATAAATTATTATGGTCATTGAACAGTGCTAACCTTCAAGAGTGTTCAGTTCTGCTTTTTGCCTTCAACTATTCTCTGTGGACAGTGGAAGACTATGACTTTATTTTGGCTACAAATAACAGATTCCATTTGAAAGTATACATTTGGACAGCTATAGCCAGTTGTTAAAAGGATCCTGATGTAAAGCTACATAATTCTTCCACTGTGACAAAATGTTTGATATTGTATCACAAATACTGTTTTATAAACTTATTTCCATAATATACATAAATCATTATATGAAGTTTCACATTTTTGCTGACAATACAGTTTGTTGCTATTCTTAGCCTTTTTGGCAAACCTGATGGCTTTGAGGCTTGATGAAAGCCTAATGGTGATCTCTGAATAGGTGATTTTCATTTCCTTTGTGCTTTTCCCAGTTGAGGGATTCATCCTTTAACCTGTTGAAAAGTGGATGAGGAATTCTGTACCTTCTAGCCTAAACTCTGATGACGGTTGTGATGCTGAAGAGTTGCCATGTGGTTTTCTCAAATGCAATGCTAGCATCCGTGCTCAAGTAACACATTTCAACACTGCAGTGTCACTTCAGCGTTGCATCACTGCTGAACTAAGAGAAGAGCCTTTAATATATAACGTAGAACTTCACTGCTGCCTGGCCTGGAAAAAAAAAATCTCTGCACTTAAATCCAAATGCTGTGTATTATAAGATCACCTAAAAGTATAATTCTCTAGTAAAATAGTTGAGAAGCGCAAGAGTACCTTGATGGTCCTGGCATTGAATTGTGGTACCAAAAGGGCACCAGGATTGTAATGACCATAAGTCTGAGGAGTTACTTTGGTTTTATGCAGCAGTAGATAAAGAATTGGGATGGGGCTTTCCTAGCAATATGCCATTTACAGCTTCTTTTGTTTAAAAGCAACTCTTTATATGGGATAGAGTGGCACTATTTTCATGGATCTAAGGGTATTAAAATACCCTAAAATACCATTTTTGAGTTAAGTTTATTTTTCAAATGACAGCATTAAAATTAAAAATGTAAATTTTATTTTGCAATAGCTTCTTCCCTGAGTGGAAACAAAGACTCAATCTACAGTCTTGCAATGAATCAAATGGGAACAGTTATTGTATCAGGGTCCACTGAAAAGGTAAGCAAAAATGTGGTAAGGCTCTTTCCACTTCAGTTCAAAGTCTAGTATAAAGAGACAATTTTATTCATTTTCAATGTCGTGTCTGTAGCAGCTATTGTGGTTTTCATAGTGAGGGTAGACAATTTTTTTAAGCGAGAGTGTAAGTGCAGGATACAAATACCTGCCTTGGTCTGAAGATGTGTCTATATCCATATAGCTTTAATACACAGAAGAGACAATCAGATCATCTTGTGTAACCCTCTATCAGAGATCATTACGTTTCACCACAAGAGGTGTGATTTTGGGTGCACGTTACTCAGATGATTATAAAAAATGAAGCAGTTGTCACAGGTAAGAAAGAAGTGGTGCCAGCAATTTGTAAGACCCCTGCAGGGAATAGGAAATTAAGTGAGTTAATGAAGTTCAAGTGTTCCCAAGAGATAGCCCGTGCTCTTTGTTGAAAAGGAAGGTGAAAGACCCTAAAATCCCCTGCGAGTTGTTTTTTTTTACCTAATCTAATGTTTAGAGAATTTTATTTCCAAGTCAATATAAAAAGTAGGAAAGTAGGATACACCAGAAAAGCATCTGAGAGGATTTGCAAAATTGGTTTTTTTTTCCCATATCACACTATCCTGTTGCCAGTTGCTTCTGTTTTTTAATTTCTTAAGAAGACAAAAAGCCAGAGCAAATGAAATTAAAATAAAGCTGAGAAAATAATATCTGATTATTAGAGGTGCATAACATCTAGTTATGTCTGTCTTGTTCTAATGAAGTGTGGTTTTGATCATGGATTTCTACGTGTTGGAATAAGGGTCAGTTTATTCAGAAAGGCTTAATATTCTTTAGAGAAGATACATTGTTGGTAAGAATGATGTTAATACCAGTTATCCAATGTCTATTTATGTAGGTTCTAAGGGTGTGGGATCCGAGAACTTGTGCAAAACTAATGAAACTCAAAGGGCACACGGACAATGTAAAAGCTTTGTTGTTGAACAGAGATGGCACCCAGGTATGTGTTTAGCTTGAGACAGGCATTTTACAGAATGCAGAAATGTCCTTAGTCTTCTTCAATATAATAAGTATTTTATGTCATAGGTTACAGAAAGTAGATTAACAAGTATTTTACAGATATTTAGTGATGAAGGGAGGGAGGCTGGTGGGTGAACGCTCTATTACAGGTCCGTCTAGGTATGGAGGGGAGGAATTACATAAAATGTCTGGAAATTGTGACTAGAATTACTGCCAGTCTTCATGTAGTGCTGTCTTAATGGAAAAATATAAGCATAAAAATTATGAAAACTCTTTACAGAAAATAAATATTTTAAAAGGTTTAAATACTTACTTGATTTAAGTACGATGGTTGTTGCTCAGTGTCTTTCAGGCAGCTCTGATGGGACTATCCGCCTGTGGTCCCTTGGGCAGCAGAGATGTATAGCCACATATCGAGTCCATGATGAAGGTGTTTGGGCTCTGCAGGTGAATGAAGCCTTCACTCATGTTTATTCAGGAGGAAGAGACAGGAAGATTTATTGTACAGATTTACGAAATCCTGATATCCGTGTGCTTATCTGTGAAGAAAAGGCACCAGTTCTTAAGGTAATTGATTTTAATTCAGAGAATCACAGAATGGTTGAGGTTAGAAGTGACCTCTGGAGGTCATGTGGTCCAACCCCCCTGCAAGCAGAGCCACCTAGCGCCAGTTGCCTAGGACAGTGTCCAGATGGGTTTTGAATATCTCATGAATATTCCATGTCCAGAATTTGTTGATTATTTGAAACAATTTCTCTGGAGTTTCAAAAATTGCATCTTAGTTATTTTTCATTTAAACTTTGTTTTTCTTTAGTAAAGTGAAAGTAATTATGTTTCTGAGATACATCCAAGTATGGGAACAGGGCTACACAGAGCAAATATTAATTGAACAAAGGAAAATTAAGTTAAATATGCCTCAAAGTATCTGTGGTTTCATTATTTAGATGGAACTTGATAGATCAGCTGATCCTCCTCCAGCACTTTGGGTTGCAACGACTAAATCTTCTGTGAATAAATGGGTAAGTGAAATATATTACACTCTGTGGATTAAATTAAGTAGTCATGGGATTTGCAGTCTTGGTTTGAGAGCTCTTGGACTGTTGCTTGCAGTTTGACTGCTTGCTGTGATCTGTAAGATCTCTTTAAAAAAATACAAGGCTAATATTGAAGCTGATCAAAAGACATTAAGCTTTGAATCACATCCTTTGTTATTTATTTATGTTGCTTTTAGAAATAAATTATCTTACTTGGCACTGGATGGTTAGCATCTACATAGCAGCATGAAGTGGCAGTTGTTACTCAGATAAAAGCAAAGTTTATAGATTATTATGAATGTGTCATTAGTTTGTTTCTTTCTTTAGACTTTGAAGGGAATTCATAATTTTAGAGCATCTGGAGATTATGACAATGATTGTACCAATCCTATACCACCCCTGTGTACACAGCCTGACCAAGTTATAAAAGGTAAACAGCTGTTTCCCAGAGTACCTTATAAAATCTGTTATCATTAGCAAAAATGTTAGATCTTTAAGAGGCTCAAGTTTTCAGGTACTTGATAATATGATTTCAAGCGAAACAATGTGGTTATTATCTAACTAGTGTTAGTTAGAGTTAAATTAGTGTTTAAACCTTGGTGATATCCAAGTCTTACATAAAATAGTGAAACCAAAGAACAATCACACGTCGTGTTACACAGCTTAATGTAATATTAGAAAAAAAAAAACAACACTGTAGTGACCTTAATTCTTTGTTTGCTAGGGGGTGCTAGTATTATTCAGTGCCACATTCTTAACGACAAGAGACACATATTAACCAAAGACACAAATAACAATGTGGCATACTGGGATGTCTTGAAGGTAAGTATATGATTTTGGATTAAACATTTTACTGTTGGATAATTAATTATTTTGTATCTTTTGTACACAAAGTAACTCACTGCTGTTCCCATTGCAGTAGTTGAGCTGAATTTGTTGCTGGATTTGCAACAAATATGGGTGTTTGATGGAGAGTTGTACTGAAATATTGATACTGATGGGGAGAACAATGACAGAGGGTGCTAGAAGACAGCTATCTACTCAGTGATGGGGAAAATTTTTTTATTAATTTTTGAGTAATGCTTCCATACTTCTCCATTGGCTTGATGCTACTATCTCAGAAATAAATAATAAATTAAAATTGCTTAACACATAATTATTGTTAAATTTTTTGAGAAAAATTTGAACCTTTAACTTGTGTGGTTTTGGACTACAATACTCATGGAGAAATCATAGAGTCGTAATCATTCCAAGTGTATATGGAAGTCAAAAGCTTTGAGGTGTTTGTATGATTCAGTAGTCAAAATTTAAAAAGTTGTGTTATTTCTTTTGGTGTACAGGCATGTAAAGTTGAAGACCTTGGGAAAGTGGATTTTGAAGAAGAAATTAAGAAGAGATTTAAAATGGTGTATGTGCCAAACTGGTTCTCGGTAGACTTGAAAACTGGGGTGAGATACAATTCCTAAATATGTTCTTCTGATGTTGTATTTCATATATTTTCATATACTGTTTGTTCACAAGGGTTTTAGTGTGCTATAAGTTTTGAAGAACGATCATAATTTATCTGATGGATTGGATTTATTTTGAAGTAAAAAAGAAAATTTTGCCTCAGTTCTTGACAAAGTGAATAACAGATGTATTTTTTTTTTCCCACCTAATGATATAGTCAGTTTAAATCCACCAATACCAGTTATGAGTTAATACAGTTTGGTAAACAAAGTGTGCTATCATGCATTTAAAAAATCTTTGGTTTGTATTCCCAGAGAAGTATGAAAAAAATAAATTTATAGACTTGCTTAATATAAGATAGCTATTGCATTCCTCTTACTGGTGGTCTTTTTCAAACAGATGTTGACAATTACTTTGGATGAAAGTGACTGCTTTGCAGCCTGGGTTTCAGCAAAGGATGCTGGATTTAGCAGTCCAGATGGTTCTGATCCAAAATGTAAGTTTTAACTAATATTAGTGATTTATTGAGGCAAAAAAGCAGAATAAATTCCAGTATTTATGTTTCAAAGTATTCCAGTGCCAGATATGTCAGTAGCTGGTTGGATTTTAGGGCTTATTTTTTGGACACTAGATTCCGCAGAGAATTCTCCAGTGAGAATGTTTGCTTTTTTTCTGAAACATTTCAGTCATGTTCAGGTTTTCTATTTAACTTGGTTTTAAATCTGTAAAAAGCAAAAGGGAAAAAGCAATATTCCTAAACTTGGAGCTATTACCTAATCTAGAGAATGTTACAGCATGTGAGTGAACCAACAGTAGTGATTCTAAAATCAGCTTTTTCTGAAAGATTGTAACAAGTAGCTCTGAGATTGTGATAATCAGATTTCTGTGCCCTGTTTTGGGAACAGAGCTACTCAAACTTTTATTCAAATGTAGAATATTATGATGCCAATGGTTTTTATGTAAGTGAAGTTCTACCTCGCTGTGTCTTGACAGTAAACCTCGGAGGGCTTCTGCTACAAGCACTTCTGGAGTATTGGCCTAGAACACACATCAATCCAATGGATGAAGAAGAAAATGAAATAAATCACGGTTAGTATTTTAATATTTTCAGGTTTTAGGATTTGTTCATACATTGTTTGTTTATATTTCTGTTTCTTTAACAGATACAACTGGATTTGCTGTCTTATGGCTGTCTCTGTATGCATTCTAGACTAATGTTTTTTAACGCTTTCAAATTTGCTTTACACCAAAATTTGCTGAGTAGCTTTCTTCTTCTGAAAGTGTCAGCAAAAATCTTAAGAATTCTAGTCCACAAAAAAAGTAGGTGAATCTATGATTCAGAAGTTATGGAAACATGATGCCTTGATGAAAACAATTACTGGTAAAACTAAGGCTTGAGCTGGAAAAGAAGCAGCCTAGATAATAACAGCAAAGAACAATAGTTCAGTTTTTCAACATTAGCCAGTATGCTTGTGACATAATTCCAATTTGCTTCTAGGTATTATGAACAATATAAAATAAAAGAAAGATTTATTGGAAAAAAATATATTCAGTGGATATTAGAATAATACATGGCGTAGGTCTATGCAAAACCACCTCAGAGAGTGGTGTTTTAAGGTAATAATACCGAGTCTAATCAGGTATGAGATAAAAAGCATAGCTATGTAAAATGTCAGATAGTGGCTGAATTTGTTGGAATAAAAGAGACTGTGTAGCTCCTAAGTTTGAAATCAGTTTAACCCAGATCAGAGTTGACTGAAAAGTCCTGCCTTTGGCAATGAAGAAATTAGTTTCTACAAATAATGCAATTAAGAAACCTGTAAGTTCAGCTATATTTTGCCATTTTGTGACAAATACTGTGCCAGGAATTATTTCAAAAATTATCTCCATGGAGGGTTACAGAACTTGGCAGGCTTTTCTGGATAAAGTTGCTGATGCTCATACTTTTGTGTGTTGGCAGTCTGCAGCTTGAGAGCCAGGCAATGTATGAGAAGTATAACTCACTGGCTTTTGTATTGGTGGAACATTGTTGCTGCAGTACTTAGTTCTGTGAAGAGTTGTGGGTTACTGGAATGTTTAGAATATTCACTACAGACTCAGTCTTTCAAAAGTAATAATTAAGAAACTGACAGTGAACAGTGACTTAAGATAAAGTGTACCTGTTGGACACTGAAATTTGTATAAAGAGACAAGAATTTTTATATATATATATAAATATATATGTGCAGTATTGTTCATCTCAGTTGTTAACAGAAGCGTTATGAAGAAGTCTTTCAAACTGTAGGATTTTTCACTTGCTCTGACTTCAGAATCATATTCATCCCTTCCAGCAGAGAACAGATTTTCTTTGTTGGTTTCTCTGCTTGATACAATTTTTGATCTTTCTTTCACTATGTGTGTTGCTAGTCAGAAAGCTAAGGGATTATTCATCTCATGAAACGATGCCATTTAAATTTCTTATTTTGCTTGAATTCAACATCATGTTCAAATACAGTAATTAGATGCTGCAGTGTAATCGAGGTGATCTTTCTCAAGTGAAGGGAAGGTATCTAAATACTTCTATATTGTGTTTCAAGATATCTGACTGACTGGAAGTTGCACTATTCAAGAGGTGCATAAATAAATGCTGATTTTTCTTTAATCTTGTCCCATCCGCCTGATGTGGAATCAGGTTCTTCAGTGTTTGAAGACCATGTTTCTATAAGTAGCTAAAAATAAGTTTAATTTAGAATGCAGTAATTTCAAGGAAATGTGAGTCTGAGATTTACTAGTATGCTATTTTGACATCTGGCAAATCCAGGTAGAAAAGCAAAGCTAACATCCTTCTGAGCTCTGCACTGTCAGTGTAGGGAGGAAAATGGGCTTGTCTCAGCAAAATCTCTGTGGTTAGTTTTTAATATTAGTATTGTACAGTTTGTCAAATCCTTAGAATTCTGTTAAGGAACTGGAGAAAACTAGTAATGAGGTTTTGTCTCATAAGCTCTATTTCCCTTTTCTGAAAGGCTTTTGAAATAGTCCTTCTATAAACCTGTATTGATCTAGTTACTCTCCAGTGTTCCTTTTTATATACTCGCTATGTGTTGGAAATAGGGATTTCCTTGGGTTTTATGAAGCTTCTGATTTTTTTTAAATTTATTAAATACATTAGCTGTAGGTGGAAAAGACACTTTTTGGTCTGTGTGTACCCAATTTTAAGGCATAGTGCAGTCTCACTGTTGTGTATATTTTTTTTTTTCCAACAGTGAATGGTGAGCAGGAGAACAGAGTCCAGAAAGGAAATGGATACTTCCAAGTACCACCACATACACCGGTTATTTTTGGTGAGGCTGGAGGACGCACTTTGTTCAGGTATAAAAACTCAAGAGTGTGAAGCATTCAATATTTACTGGCATAGTGGATTTTACATTTGAGGGGTGGGGGATGTTTCATTTGTTGTTTTTCTTTCTGAGGCTGAATAGGCCCAAAAACTATTTAACTTTCTGTCCATGAACTCATCAGTAAAGCAGGATAACCTTTTTCAGCTTTGAAAACTGATTTTTTTTTTTTCTGCAGTATCAATGTATTTACATTGTAGTTGGGGCTTAATATTTGCATTTGCTTGTTGTCAAGAGAGCACTGAAAAGACACCAGAGGAGGGAGCAAGCCATGCTTTTTTGCACCTAAAATGTGGCTTGCAGGACTCTCTAACAAAATACTTAATTGGAATTTATAAAATTATATGTAGCTTTGTTTTACCATTGTATGTGCACATTTCTTGAGATTGGTTTTATTCTTTCTGTTTGGTGAGAACTTTGCAGATATTTTATATACAGAGCTCATTTGTCCCAAGCAGAAAATAATTGCTTTTTGCCAGGTGCCTTTCCCTTTCTCCTGACAGTTTTGTACTCCAACACACAAACATATACAATCCACGAGCAAAGTTGTTTTTTAAATTTCTCTGTGCCATAGCCTATAGTCTCCTGAGACACTTCCACCTGTTTCTGCTCTAGGCATTTGTCGTCTTCCTGCAGCTACTTTTTTCTGGTCTTTACAGAAAATACGTGATCGCTTCCCCAAAAAGTTTCATGTGGCAGGTCTTCTGAAAGCTTTTTAATGCACTTTACAATAATTGTTTTCATTCACAAAGGTTATTTCTGTATGTCATAGGTTATTATGTCGGGATTCAGGTGGTGAAACTGAATCTATGCTTCTTAATGAAACTGTGCCACAATGGGTAATTGACATCACTGTGGATGTAAGTATCACCTGTAGAGATTTTGCTTTTTGTTGGTTTTTTGGGGTGGTTTTTTTGTTTGTTTGTTTGTTTTTAAGGTGAACTACAGTTTTTTTAACTGTACAGGATCTGAAATGAAATGTTAAATTTTTGCTTTATTTGTATTTAAAATAAGTGGTCTCAAGGTCTGTTTTCAAGGCCCTTTGAGGTTCATTATTTTTTAATGTGTCCAGTTAAGGTATTTTTGCTCACTTTCTTTTGACAGAAAGTCAGAAAAATAAAGTACTGTGCATTATTGGTATCCTTTTCAAGTGTGGAGCTGTCTAATTCCCTTTGAAATAAATTATAATTTATATTCAAAAGCTAGATGATATGTGCATCTAGGTGATATGTGCATCATCTAAATTGAAGCATCTCAGGAGTATGAGTAATTTGGAAGTTGGCTGTGGAGGTTACGTTGATTAAGAATCTTTCTTGCTTTTTGATAATTAGGAACTGAAGATACTTCCCATACCAGCTGATAACAGTACATCCTAAATTAACATTTTTCAAATTTGTTTCCTTCTAGAAAAATATGCCCAAGTTCAATAAGATTCCCTTCTACCTCCAACCTCATTCATCATCAGGGGCAAAAACTCTAAAAAAGTAAGTAATGCATATTTGACTCTTAAAACTGCAGAAAGAGAATTGCAAGCTCAAAAAAAAAAAAAAAAAAACAGGGGTTTGCCAGAGAATTGTATTGTGCTTGATGAATTTGTAGAAGTTTCTAGTAATTTAAACATCAGTGTTCTGAAGCACTGAATTATATCAGAGTATTTGAAAGAACTGTAGGGGTTTTTTGGGTTCAGTGGGCAGTTGCTTAAGTTTATGCTAAGGAATGTCAAAGAACTAACGACTGAAATTAGACTTTGTGTCTTTTGGGGAATTTAATCAGAAAAGAGGAACGTATAGATTGTTTTGCTGTTCAGAACCGTGTTTTATGTTATGTTTCCTGTTTTCTAACAGTGATGAATAATAGCTTTTTAAAAGGAAAAGTTACAAAACCTGACAGCATGAGTTAGTGTGCCCATCGCATGAGCTGTAACTGGGAGCTCTGTAGGTTAGAAATCAACGCAGGTCTTCAGGTGTGAAGTCAGTGTCACAACAATTTTTGGTATTTTCCACAAATGTCTTATTCCTCTTTAAGTCTAGTTGAATTCTTTACATAAGAGACAATTAGTGAAAGAGGAGCTTCATGGACTTTTTGTGTACTTTGTGGAAAAACTGCAGCTGGTTATTACTTTTGAATGCTCTTCTGTTAATGTAGTGGGGTGAACAGTATAATCTTCATAAAGTCCTTCTCTTACTAATCCCTTTTCTGTTGGAAAAATGAGGGCTGTGTGCAATACTGTTAATCTAAGGTTTGATTTTTAATTCGATCTTTTGAATATCTTTCCACTTTTCTGAGTCCCTTTTGCTGTGTGAATCTTTGCATGAATAGCTGTTATGGTATTGTGGATGATCCTGATAATTTACTATTAAATTTATAATATAAAGAGTTTATCTGTGTACTTGCATAGTTTGCTACGGATTAAGTTATTGTGAAGATAAGAAATATAATTTCTCAAGTTTTTTCCTGCCAAACTTTGCTTATTTTATATAGAGACCGACTGTCAGCAAGTGATATGCTTCAGGTGAGAAAAGTGATGGAACATGTGTATGAGAAAATCATCAACTTGGATAATGAGTCTCAGACAACAAGCTCTTCCAATAATGAAAAAGCAGGAGAACAAGAAAAAGAGGAGGACATCGCTGTGCTAGCAGAGGAGAAGATTGAACTTCTATGCCAGGACCAGGTAAGTTAGTCGCGTATTTTAGACATCGCTTCTGTTCACAGGCTAACAATGAAGCAGTTGTGAATTTCTGAATACCGAGCTTGAAATATGCTCTAGGTTATCTGTCACCTTTAAAACTAAGTAAATGTTTTGATGTCACACTAAGTGACTGCTGACACAAGTTCGGACAGTTGCAGATAGCTGGATCAAAGAATTTATATAGTATGCCTATTTCATTTGGTCTGACTAGCAGCTCTTATAGGATTTCTTATTCATATTCAATGAATGGACTTAATACAATTTCACAGAGTTCCATTTCTGGAATATTTTGAATTCTGTATTTCTAGCAGAGTTTAAAATTTGTCCAAAATCATGAATTGTCTAGGAAGCGTAATAAGCGGATGAAGATTGAATGTGCAGGAGGTGGCTGTAATATGAAGTTATATATTACATTGCTAAATCTTTCAGTAATGCTTCAAGTTTACTTGCTAGTTGAAAAACCTGAGCTTTTTGCATGGTTTATCTTTGATGCCAGTTCACCTATAGGATTGTTTTGCCCAACCAGAGTGTTTTATCTTTGAATTTCTGATGATCTAGAAGATTTGTGGAATAAAAGATTAATTTTTTCCCATTTAGGTTTTGGATCCGAATATGGACCTTCGAACTGTAAAGCACTTCATTTGGAAGAGTGGTGGGGATCTGACGCTTCATTATCGCCAGAAATCAACGTGAAGGGAGCGGTGGACCCAAATGGTTACTTATTTACTTGACTATACTGTGCTGGTTCCAAGAGTAGTACTATAGAAGCCCACTGAACCCCTAAGGTAGATGAGACTTCTGACGACTCAGTATGGACGGAAAGTATATGTTTAATTGAGGCGACTAATAGATCTGTAATATAGAGGAAAAAAAAATGTATATGACTTAAACTAAAGTCTGTCCTATTCTCAAGACAATGAGATGGGAAGTCCCTGAGTGGTTCGTGTTGTGTGAGGTGTACAGAGAATGGATAATCCAGTGCAGACTTTTGCTTCCTTCTTTTTTGCTTTTGTTTTTCCAAAACATAATATCCTCATCTGCTCATGCTTAATATGAAACCATTTTGGCCATATGAGTCGCTGTGTTCACACTATAATTCAGAACTGCACACGAGGTATTTTTAATACATTCCATTCATAAAGCTCCTGCAATGGTTTCTCACAGGTTACTCAAACATTTCTACCACTTAAAGAAATTTGGAGAAGAAAAACAACAGAAAATAGGTATTGGATGCTTGAAAGACTTGGCCCATTTAATTGCAAAGGAAGGGTTAATGTTAGACTTGTTTGAATACTGCAACTCAGCTGTTGCTTTAGAGAGCTATTGACATGCAGAATGAGAACACTAGATAAATGTTGTAGCAGGGTCAGTCCAGTGATGCTGTGCATCATAGTAGAGTAAACATGCTTTGCAGCAACTTAAGAAATTTTTTTTTAAATATATATAACTACTTCCTGCACTGTGTCCTAGGTGTTCTAAAGACACACTAGTCTCCAAAACTATGTGAAATTTTGTTAAAACTTCAGACCGTTCTGAAAATAATTTCATATCTTTAATGTTAAACTTTAGAAATTTCTCGGCAGATTTCATATTCATGATATAAAAAAAAAACCTTTTCTTTTCTGAAGTTTTATATGCAGTTGTTCTTTTGTTATAGATTTATGCAGATCTTCTTTTCGCTGTTATTTCTAAAAAAATCTATGACTGTCATAGACTCATAGTAGTCTTTTATAGAGTTTAACTTATTGGGGGGAGGGGGTAAAGGCATTTCAACTTTTCATGAGAAAATGTGGGGCTGTCCCAGAAAACCATTTGTAGCCAGAAGAGATCATAAATCCTCATAAAGAAATAGTGTAAAAATGACTCTTGTCTGAAGCAGAAGCACAAGTGCCTTCAAAGGGCAGTATATTATTTGAGTTTCTTCAGGAGACATATGCTCTTGCCCTTCCTGTATCTTGCTAACAAGATTTAGGTCGAGGCCTAAAGAAAGTCCCAATAAATTCTATTACTGGGATTGTATTGGTCAAACAAAAAGTAAAATATTTTTCATCATTTTATTTGAAAAAATAGTCAAATCATTACCTTCTGCACTCTTAACCTAGCTAAACAAACTCATGGCTTAAACAAAAAATATGGTTCGGAACTAAGCTGGCATGTCTTTCTCCCTTGTCTTTTGAGAGTCATTTTCAGTTTTTATCCCCATTTCTGTGTATGCTCCGTTTGACACAGTTGTGCTCCAACTGCACATTTTTAGTGGTATTTGTGAATTAAATGGTTAAACAGAACTGTAAATTTTACTGATAAATTTTCCTGACTTGTATTTATTAATAGCAAGGCTCTACGCTTGTTCCAATAGACACTGTTTGGGTTTTTTGTTTTCCATTGTCTTGCTGTCTCTTTATATACATTGGAATTGCTCCCAGTAATTTAGTTTGAAATCAGACAAGGTTGTAATTTTTCTCCCTCCTTTTTTTTTTTTTACCTCCCCTAACCATCCCAAAAATGCAGTTTTAGGAAAGGCTGACAGAAGAGTCTGCAATGCCAGAAGGGTAAATGATATTTCACAGTTGTATAGAATAAAAGGCTTTAGTTAACATATTCTCAAGTCGTTTTGTGTATTGGATTAATTACACAATTTTAGAGCTTGGACCTTTGCCACTTAGTGGTTGTACTGCGAAGGACCTCAAAGTCCTTTGAAGCCTCAAGTGATGGAACAGCTGGAGAAATGGCAGTGCCTTGACAAAATCCCTTAGAGATGATCTTGTAACATGGCTGGATGTAAAGCAGGCATGCAAGCCTTCAGATGCAAGCTCCGAAATCCTGTTGAGGTGGAGAGTGTGCTCGAGTAACACTGCTCGTGTGGGCAGTGTGTGCTTTTGTGCTGTGAAAATATGGTGTGCTAACACCAATGTAGTACATAAGAAAAGACAGACCTGCTGAAAGTGACTCGTGCCAGTTGCCATTGAGTTTTCCGGATGTGGGAAGGTTGTAGCACTGCAAGAGACACGTGGGAAACTCAGACTGGGTTTCTGGATGCTACAAATGCCAGTACCGAATGCTCAAAGCCTTGGCTGTGGGGACTGCCAGCAACTGGGCTGCTCTTGGAGAGGATGCAGTAATTCCACAACTAAATGTGTTCCCAGAGACTCCCAGCATCCCTCTTAAATGGAGTGTCAAGTAAGAAGAGGGGTTTTTTGCTATTCCCTTTTTATCTCTGTCACCTTTTCTGGAACTGTGCTGTCTGTAAGAGTTCTGAAGGCAAGAGCAGGAGAGGCCCCTGCACAGCATCACGGAGTTAACATGACAGTCACAGCTCACTGGAACATTGTGAACAGAGGTAAGAGTGTCCCTTTGCCAGAATCATGGGAAAGGTCACTGAGTTGTAGAAGTTGTTTTGATTTCCAGATCCATACTAGAAAGGAGTTGTAAAGCCAGTATTTAGTAGTGTAACCTGCCTCCCAGAAAAACATTTGCCTATCACGGTCAATATATTTTTTTCTCTTCAGGTGGGGTGGTGCTGAGAACAGGAGAGCTAGGCTCAGTCTTGGCAGCTGAAGTGCAAGTATCATTTTAGGGAGAGAATTATTTACAGGATTTAGCATAAATTTGTAGAAGCAGTAAGAATCTCGGAATAAGGCAGATTTAGTATGTATTAGTTCAGTTGTCCGTATTCCATGCGCGGGGGGCAACCAGGGGACTGATGGTGCACTCCTCGGGCAATCTCAAGCAAAGCAGCATAGAGAGCTGCTCAAAGACCAGCTGTCCTGTGGCTCAGATCAGGAGCGTGGGCATCTATTTATTCATCTATTCATCTGAGAGTTGCTGGCTCAGGATAGAAAGGGACGTTGCAGAGGTGCTGAGCTGAATTAGCGTGGAGGTGCCAGGGAAGAGGAGAGAACGTGTTTGGTGAAGGCATAGAGCAACTGTTAACAGCAGTTACAGCACTCCCAATTTTAGCCAGCACATTACACCAAGGTAGTAGTTTTTCTTTCACAGAGTTCCTGTTTGATTCAGGCTTTGTTCCTAGAAATTTCTTGAACTTGACATTTAGCATCAGTCTTTAAGCACATGGTCTTACACCTGCAGATGTGTGGGTGGCTCCTGAGCAGAGCCAGGTGGAGTTACCGCCCAGCGAGATAAGAGAACTAAAAAAGCACATGCACACTGAAATATCAAGAAGGTGATTGACTAAAATAGTTTTCTGTACTATGTGGTGGAATTTTTTCTGTAAGCAGCTGTACAAACACCATGCAGACCACAGGCACTGACTAGAGACTGCCCAGGGGCATGGCCCATCTGCTCCTGAGGATGTTGTGACCCTGCTCTAGCCATCTTTTTCACCGGACTGTGAATGCTTCATTGCTTTTTGTAGCTTAGAAATGTAACTTAAACCAAGAGCTCGGTGAGACTAAATTCTGAACCCCCAAGCAGCTGGAAATGCAGAATTAAAGCTCCTCCGTGCACGTGTGAGTGGTGCGATCTCTGCTCTGTGCTCCAGCCTATCTTCCTGGAGCATTTCTCAGGGACAGCGAAGAGCAATTCAACCAGGCATGGAACTCGGATGAGCAGCTTCTGAACATAGCCTAGAGCAGCAGCTTTGCGCAGATTCAGTAAATTGTCAAGCCTGCTGTGAAAGTTCAAGAGGGAAAATAGTCATCACTGCCGGAATTTGGTATTTCAACAATTCCTTCCAGTGTTTTTTCACCATAAAGACACCAAATACATTCCTTCACAAACCCAAGTTCGGATGGAATTAGTCCAGCATCCATATTGCTGTTAATAATGAGATTTGCTATCTCTAGGGTGGTTATTTCCTTACCAGTTTGGGGATTAGGATCATTCCTACTACAGGTTTATGTTGTCTGAAGTTCCCATCAATCCACCACCAGCACCCAGGTGCTCTGGGTCATCAGGGTCAGCAGAGCTGTGGCTCAGTAGAGATGAGCTTTGCCTAATCCTTGCTGTAACACCTGAGCTGCCAAACTCATGTCCTCAGGCTTGACTATCAATATTAGAGCATCCTGGGCCTGGAAGCTTATCCCATTGTGTGTGGCCACACCACTGTGCAGTGTCAAGCTCCACATACGCTGCCTCCAAGCTCTGGAATTAGTCCAGAGCACTCCAAGGTGACCTCCTCCTCCCTTTGTTTTGCCCTCCTTGTGATACTGCTGAGATAACCTCTCTTGTGTCTGCAAAAGAGCTGTCACTGGCGGGTTTACAGATGTCCTCAATGTTTGGGACAGCAGCAGACTAATGGAAGTTTGGGGTTGTTTTTTTTGTTTGTTTGTTTCAAAACGCAAATACAAAAGGGGGTGATTCAAGCCATTTCACTCCAAGATAGTTCTGTCTTCTACAGCCATTCTACTTGTTTCAAACGAACATAAAATATCACCTTTTTTATTTCAAACCGACCTGTCCTCAAAAGCCTTCTGAGGTACATTTCTTTCAGCGGTAGTACCTGGTCATTCCCTTCCTGAATTTTCCTCAAATTAAGCAGCAGTAGCAGTGAGATAATCACGAATGCTCCAGGTCGCTCTGCAGCACGCAGTCGGTATCAGAGGGGATGGCTCTGCGATGTCTACGCTTGCAGCGACAGCAGGAGGTCTCTGCCTGCAGGAGGATTTGATCTTGTCTGGATCCAGCCACTATCAGGAGCTTCTACTGCTCTTTTTAGGTTTTATTTTGAAACTAAAAAAATCTACTCAGCTTTCTAATTTCTGTACCCCTGAGTAGAAGAGTGCTTTCTACTTCTCTTTGTTTAAGCAGGGAGGTAGCTCCAGGCATCACCAAAGGTAGTCTCCAAATCAGAGAAAAGGAATTGGATGAGGAAGTTAAATTCACCTCATTTAGCATTTAAATGATAACATACTACAGCTAGAGGCTTAACTCTCTTTGGTTTTCTAAGCAGAATGTTATCATTTGGATGTTATGAAAAAAGAATCAATAAATATAAACCAACTCCCCCCCTGCCCTTCCACGAGGCAGTTAATGTGAAGCAGGCTGGACACAGGCTGTGGTAAGTGTTAAGCCGTTTATTAGTGTGATATTTGAAATTTAGTGTTGAGTTTTGACAGTCCCTGCTCTTAAATTTGTAAAGGGTGGCTATGGTACAGCATCACTTAAATGAGCTACTACCAGCTTAAAAACAGTTTTGACAAAGGTGCAAGGCTAGAAACAGTCCTAAATAAATGACAAAAAACCAAATAGGTCATGTAGGTGTCTTCAGTCATCAGGCTCTGAGACCAAACAAACTTACCAATAGTTTAAATCACATTTATTTTTAGTGTTTGGCTGTTCACCCTTGTAGCAGTCAGTTGGGGGAAGAAAGGACATTATTTTAGCAAAATAGGAACAAAAAATCTGTTCACTACTAACAGAGCATTTAGCAGACTAGATTTCCAATCTCTTAATTCCACTACCTGCAGTTAGGGCTCAATGCATTCTTCTTTAAAGCAGGAGCTATCTTGACCATGCTGTCCAGAGCTACTCTATTTTATGTTAAAACTATTTAAGACTAACAGCTGAATATAAAGGACAGATTTTATGTAGGGGTGTACTCATCTGAAGACCGCTCTTGCAGCTTCATCTGCACCCTTGTGCTGAAGCTGAGCTCTCACAGGCAGATCCCTGTGACCCAGAGTCCCCCTCCTGCGTTGTTACTCGATTTCAGCATCAGTCATTTCACTTACTGATCTTTTTAGGGCACGATGTAGAAACAGATCAGGAGACAGGGCCGAGAAAAGGAAGAGACAGTATTGTGCTAAGTAAGTGTACTCTAGTTTAGAGCCTGTACCCAGTTCTCTTAATTTATGGAAGATTTTAACCACACTAACTGTACGAACTAGAGTGAAGTTATTCCTAATCAGCAGATTTAAAATTCCAGGAAAAACCACTGCCCCGTGGACTATAAAAACACCCCCCTTTCTTCCATTGTTCATTCCATGTTTGCTATTACATTCAGAAGCTGTTTGAAGACAAGTGCAAAGAAAACAAAAAAGCTACACAAAGCAGTAGATGTTGCTGCACTAACATGTTCTGTGCCCATGTCTTAAACTTGTAATGATTTGTATGAAAATAGAAATGGTAAATAGAAAAGCACAACTGAAGAAAAGCTCTTTCGCTGTCAGTACAGAAACCAAGACATACTCAACTCCACTGAAAAGGTTAATCACTTTGAAAATACACGGGCCTGACTTAAAGTCATCTTTGCCTTCAGTTTGTTTCAAATAACCATCATCATTTCCCCCCACCCTTTTTTTTTTTTAACTCTGACTACCACATGATCCACTGAAGAGCTAAAGAAGTGAATGACAAGACCCACCAGCCCATGCTGCAGCTTCAAACCATCTGGTACTTTCTTTCCTGCAAAAGTAGTTGCAGAGAAGGTACAAGAAGAACTGTTAAAGAGAAGGGACTCTAAAACAAGAAAAATAACAGCTTGCAGAGTAGTAAGTAGGAATAAAGATATATTGGGGTAGGAAAGGCCTTGAAAGTCCCAAGAACTGCTTAATTGAGGTGTACCATGAGAAAAGCTTCCCAGCAAGTCACAACCATAAATAGGGGGGTTTTTTTAATGCCATCAATCATACTGAGAAAATAATCATCAAGTGTCACTGTTCAGGCCGAGTGCCTTCATAAATACATTCAGGAGCATGTGTAGGCAAATGTGAATTCAGGAACTTGACATTTTGCCGGTCTCCAACTTCTTTCTGCATTAATTTCTCCATTAACTTGGTGATTTTAGACAGCATTCAAAGTTTGAACAGCGATCAATCCATTAAACAATGATTGGAAAAGACAACGATATGTATTTCATATGATTTCTTTTATAATATCGTCTACGCTACCAAAATAGAATAGCTGTAATTCTTTCAAGATCAGAAAAATATTCCAAGCTGTAGGATTACAGCATATGGCAGTCTGTAAATGAAAGCAGCATCCACTTCACTCCTGATCTCGAGCAGCTTCTTCTTCTTTGTGTTCACATGCTGCTTCATCCTCTGGTTTCACCGGAGTAGCGGTTAACGAGGTCTCAATACTGTTTAAGAGCAGCGTTGTTTCTTGGTTATCGGGATCAGCTCCTAGTGTTTTTGAAGAAATTTCACTAGGAAGAGCAAACGAAGGTAAAGCTGGAAGTGAAGGCAGCAGGCTGTCCATCCCGGGCGGCTTGACTGAGCTTTCAGAATACATGGTTACATCTCCAGGGTCCAAAGCTATGGCATTTTCTGGGAAAAGGAAATAGTTTGTAAAAAACCAAAAACTGTGCCTCTGGTTACCATGGGTCTAGAAAAATCAGCTTGAGGGAGACACTTTGTACAGGCACATAGCCAGATTCACACCTGTCAAAGGCAGGGGCTGTGTTTGCCCTGTTCTCCCCAAATCCAGAAAATCTGATGGTGCAAGTTGGTTTCTGAGAGACCACAACCCATTTGGTCTGCTGTATGCTCATGACTCAGATGTTTGTGTTATAACTCTTACCCCCACCCCAAGTTTTAAAAGGGAAAAGCAATTCTTTCAAAAATTTGTGGTTTTTTTTAATAGAAAAGTCACTATTAAGATGACTGCAATTTTGGTTTCGCTGTACAACTCTGAAAAGAAGCCTGTGGTACAAAAATTCATTTGTATTGATTTTAGAAATAACCTACTTTTGTCAATTTAATTTGGATGATCAATATTTTCATTTAAAGAAAGACACACATTCTATAATCTTATAAAAAAGCCTATTAGTTTTTCTCCACTTCTACACACAATTTCTGCTACTTCTTCCAACTCATTTTAGCCAATCCGCCTTCTCATTTTTCTTAAAATTGGGTTATTTCCAAAAAGCACGATATTGTTGAGCTATTCCAGAAATTAGGTCAGAGGCCTAAAGGAAATCTTAAAGACTCTTACCAAAATAAGCAGAAGCTTCATTGTTTGACATGAACTTTTCAGTGCCTACTAAAGCATCTGCTGCTGGCATGTTGAAAGAGGCAGATGAAGACATGTTGGACACTTTTGTTATGTCGGTGAGTTCGGGCAATGAAATACCAGACATATCTAGAAATCCTGAAGGAGGAAGCAAATATTACAGCACTCTTTTAGATATAGCACAGAATTCTAGATTCAAAAAGACATGTTCTATCCAGACTGAAGTCAGCAAAGTCCCCTAAATGCAAATAAATTTAACCTGTAAGTTAGCTGACATCAGTGGAAAGACTTCTGCAGAATGTTAACTTCAGTCAGGCTCGCAGTACCCAAATTCTACAGCTCTGAAATGCAGTGAAGTAAAAAACTTTAAGAAAAACAACTACCAGTGCTCATAGTTCTGCATTTAAGTCTCAAACTTGTTTAAGACCTCATTAGTTTGCTCAGATGTCCTCTAAAGAATTGCTGAAAAAAGCACCTAAGGAAACGTACCTGGATCCATAACTCTCTGGAGAGGGGGGGGAGGAGAAAGGGAGCTCTCTGGTGAATAACCGCTCATTTCTTGATCTGTGGAATGGTCCAAGTTCATCAGTATTTCAGAGTTGTCACCCTGAGAAGCAGGTGCCAATAAGGGAGTCTGGAATAACACAGTAAGAAGGAAAAGCATCTTTTTATATTGAAAGCTTCACCTGAAGATGATGTTCCTGTGAAAGCATTCTGCCTCAGCCTCCAACTACACCACTTGGGAGAGAACCCGTGATGCCAAAATGTGACAGTCAAGCCACTGATGAGGACATGTTCCAATGCAGCCTTTTAAAGCCAGTCTGTTCTTCGAAGAACAGTCCATACTTAATTCATGTAAACGTATTTTATTTCCTAGTGAGCAGAGTATTCTTCTAATGTCACTCTCACAGACCAATACAACTGTAGTATGCAAGTCTTCAGAACAGAAAGACAATATCCACCAAACGTTTATATCAGCCAATACTGGTGAAAGAGTAATTGTGATATATGTAATTACACCCAAACACAATGAGGAATATAGAATACCCACTGAAAGTTTAAGGAAATAAAGGGTACGGCTCAGCATACAGAGTTTCTTGCTCATGCTGCCCTTCCTGTCATCTGCTCAGCTTCAACTGACTCCATTTTATTCAAGCAGAATAGTATGCTGTACTCAAATGTACTGGATTATGAATGTTCCAACAGGTAGAAAATTTCAAAACTCCTGAGAACATAACTGATTTCTTACATACCTCTGTGTAACCATTAGTAGATGGTACAGGAGTTGCAGCTTCTGGTAAGGGTGAAGGCGGTTTGCTTTCTGGCTTTTTGTTCGATGCTATAGACTGTGTTGGAATTCTGTGCAGATAGCCATATCCAATACCACATCCTAAACTGTATAAGAAAAGTAAAACAAGACTTGGAAAAAAGGTGTTCTTAACAAAGCTAGTAAGTGTTTTAAATTTTGACTCTTTAAAACAAGAACAGTTTGAGTCCTTACTGTATAGCAAGAAATACCTACCTGCAAGAATCATTTCCCTTACTTATAGTACTCAAGGAGCACTCTGCAATTGACATTTAGATACACATAGCTTAGCTTTCAACTGATTATCTTTGTATCTTTACAAAATATATAATCTGACCCGTTTTGGATTTTGTTCTCGCTTTAACCAAATGTTTGACTATGAGAACAAAGCTAGTGAATCTGCTCCTGGGGAAGACAACACAGGTTTTACCATGGGTTTCAACTCAAACAGGATTAGATCAAGAACATGCCTAATTCCTAGTCCTAAGCTATTTTTTAATGGAAAGATGAACAGTTTTGTGTAAGGAAACAAGGCTCAACTTGAAAACAAGCTGTAATCAATAATCATATTCTTAACAGGAGCTCATTTACAGTAAGTATTTAACCTGTCATCAGCCAGTGACTGTCCAGAGATCAGTACCTTCCTTCTCCACCCCAAGCTCCATTGGGAGTCACAACTACCTCTCGAATGGAATCTGCCTCAGTGTTGTAAACCATCAGCTTCAGCGGCTTCCCCTCATGGGATTCAATCAGTGAAAAGAAATCCTCTGACTGAGAAAAAAAAAAAAAAGTAGTAGTTATGAAATTCAAATGTGTAAGACAAGGAGCTGGAAGCAAGCTGGCGTTTTACACAGTTATTTATTTCAACAAGAGATATTAAAAACCCAAAGAAAGACCGAAACACATCAGTATAGTTTGATCTTTAGGTACAACTTTTTTATTGTCAGATTAAAAGGACAATGTTTACCTCAACCATAAAGTATCAGTCATAAACATCAGCCTCCCAAAATCCCAAAAAACTATCCCCATACATTTGATGTGCATACCATTAGATTTATAAAAAAACCCAAACTCTACAACATATACTTGTCAGGCATGAAGACAATCACTACTTGAAGGAACATGCACCCTACCTCCTGAAGAATCTGATCAGATCCAACAATGTAGTCAGTGTATGGCTGGAGACCAGCGAGAGCTGCAGGAGATGCAGGTTCAACATCCTGTGAAAGTATGACATGGGTCATCTGCACTCGCAGCAGGATAAACTGCCCCAAAATCAAAAAAGGAAATCTAACTCCAAAAACAACTGAATGAAAGAACATTTTGCTTAAGGGACAAAATAGAACTCCTTGAACAGTCTACACCTAGGTGTGATGTCTTGTAAAACATGCTGAATAAGAAAGACCAAGATACTATCAATTCAAAATTAGATACTCTGAAGGCACTGAGGACTTGCATTCACATAAACAACTAAACACATACCAAAAGATGATGTTGATCTTTTCTAGGCTGTTCTATTCTTTCAGCTCTCCCTTTTAATTTTAAAATATTTTTTTGGTGCTTTTTGTAACATTAATATTACTTCGATGAAGTCTAGCCAAAAAAAGAGACACCTATCAAGCCAGAATCTTTTTTGCTTTTGACATTGATTCTTTAACATAAGACAAAAAAAACTTCTCCCCATCATGCACTACTTGGTCTGGTCGGGATGGAATTATTTTTCTTCATAGCAACAGGCAACACTGACAGTCACCCACTCATTGTCGCTATTTAAATAGCTCAGAGAAACTTTCCAGACTGTGTTCCTTTCGTCTTTATGATTTCAGCATTGTACTTCTACACACAATTTACTTCTAAACATCACACTTTAAAAGAAGGTTGTATGAACACTAATGAGCCACCAAAGAATTCTGTCTTACCAAAACATGCCACACATGTTCACTGGCTCCCTGGAAACTGCAGAACCTCACGCTGGCTCCAAGAAGACCTTGTCCTCCCCACATGTTACTGGGGATCACCTCCACCTCTCTTATTTTCATTGTTTTGATATTATACACCTCGAGCTTCACTGCTTTTTCAGCATTTGCCTTCAGCAGATCTTTCAACATATTGTTTTCTTTATTCTGGAGAGCACAGAAAGAGAGATGTGGTTAATATAATTTCTAGTTGCACCTGTAACATAGACCACGCCTGTGGCAGAGTTTGAATACAAAGAACCAAAACCATCGAAGTTTAGGCTCTGTGTTTCACGATCAGTCCCAGCAGTTCAATTTTCTTTTTTTAGAAAGAAGTCAGTACTGTCAGCTCATGTCCCTTTATATAAGTAATTACTATTTCTCAGTTTCATCACTTACTTTCCTGTTCTTCATAACTGCTATTTAATAACATCAGCAATATTAGATCTCAACTATGTAGTCATATCAATAAGCAGCAATATTTTACTTCATGCCTCTGATCCCAGTTGTTACCCAATAACCCTTCAAAGTCATTGCAAATCGACTGTGAAAGGACAGGCTGTTTGGGAGAAGCTTAGAGAATTTTCGTTATTTTGGTCACATTAAAAGATTGACTGTCATCTTCCACTGATATAACGATCATTCCCAGAAAGACAGCTCCACTAATAAAAGCAAGACAAACTTAATGAATACCGCTTGCATGTAGCTAGCATGAAGCATACAGCCAAAACTGCGAGCCTTTTAAACCAAAAAAAAAAACCCCACCAAACCAAAACTCAACTCCTCTCACAACTCTCCACACAGGAACTGTGTTCCCAGTCTTAAGTATAAGCAGACCAGCCATGATTTTTTTTTATGTTTTATCAAATGTTTAAATAAGTTTGTTTAAACAAATGTTGAGTTTTCACCATTGACTCACCAGTTCAATATTCACCTCGTGGCAGAAAATATACATTAATGAGTAATATAATAAACATTGTGTTAACTGTCTTAATAGATTAATGTGATTAAAGGCATAAATAAGACTCTACTCAAATTGGGATCCAGACAGAGAGGAGACGTTGAACACCACCAAGTTTTACTTTACCTTGTTAATGCCATATACAATGTCCAACATGAAAAGCTTTCTTTGCTATGACAGTTTTGGCTTCTACCTTTCATCATTACAACACCCATATTTCATGCAGGGGAAAGAAATAAAATCATTTGAGGCTTACAAGCCTAGTGTGTCCTATCGCAATGATGAAATCAAAGAAAGGTTCCAGTCCTCCTTGTTGAGCTGGGGAGTTTTCCTGAACCTGCAAAACATCCATTTTATTTTTCATTATACATTGATCTCAGTTACATTAAGCAACAAAGTTAATCTTTACACTTGATTCAATATTTACTTTTTTGAGTTGACCCAGAGCTGAGATACCAAATGACAGACCTCAGGAAGCAGTCCACAATTGTGAACTTAACTTTTATAGAACTATGAACTGGTGTCCTAATTAAGCTGTAAAAAGCAGGTATTGGACCCCATACAAGACAAGTATTGTGATGCAGAGTCCGCAGCATGGACTTATTATTGAGGACTTTGGAAAAGGGCTTTGTTTTCCAAGTGCTGCTTCAGGATTTTCTTCCATGCTACTAATAACCTGAGCACATCGAGAGTCCCCAGTTTTTAACATTTTTACACAGCCATTTTTTACATAAACACAATTTACAATTAGGTTCCCACCATTTACAGCACATTAGAATAGAAACTCTTAAGAGAATATGCTACAAACACATGGCTAACCACAAGTACTGGTCAAGAAGATTGCCATCACTTACAAAAGATTCATAAGGAATAAGAGTCGCAACATCTCGATTTCATCGTAAGCAAGATGTAATTAAAAAAATATAGAGAATAGCTATTAAAACACTTCACACTAGGAAAAAAACACCAGAAATTATGCAGAACTTGATATACACAGAGTATATGAGAGTACACCCACTTGAAGGCATACTAACACAGCAACATGATATTAAGGGAACCACTGCAAACATGCTAACAGTTCACGCTGCTTGTAACTTCACTTGTTGTGAACTCAGCAGTACAGCCCATAACGTGCAATATATTTGACTCCTGAAAGCCACCCCACAACTTAAATGCTCAGTTAGAACCCACACACGATCTAAACTAGAAAGTTAACTGCTAGCAAAGTTAAAACTGCTACATCTTATATTTGGTCTTGTGTTACCAAACCGCCTTTTTTTTTAATAAAGTTGCAATAGTATTGGGGCTTTTGCTGACATAACTGTCTATGCAGTTATAAAATATACATAAGTAACAGCGTAGTTACTTCAACAAAAATTCTTAAAGCAAAAAAAACAAAACAAAAAAAAAAACCTTTATTTTTAAACAGTCAAGACCAACCACTGTAACCACAATAGGAAGTATTAACTTTCATCACAATCCTAAACTGCATCAAAAGCCACCAGCCAGCTTCTATTCAACCAAGCTGAAGGTTAAAAAAAGTTTCCCCACCTCCCAATTCTAAATAATGTTCAAGAAGCTTTTCAATGAAACTATCATGTAACACAATGTCAAGGATGAAAGTGTACGCAAAAAGTACAGAAGTTATCACAGAGCTCATGACATTGTTCAGATGTTTAAAAGCCATAAATTCCCACACAAAGCAGTATTTGGTTTTCAAAATGACACGACATCAAAAGCTGCACAAATTCCCTCAAAAAATTACTTTGTCTCCTACATATTGTAGGTCACCAAAATCATCCTCCAGTACAGAAAACTGAGCAGTATCCTGCACTTAACATGAAAGGAGGAGGCATTTCATGACCAATGGTAATTTCTGATCGAGTTAACTCTGTTAGGGAGACTGACAAAAGCAGATTACATACAACACTGGTACCCTAACCACATCTGGGGATGTTGAGAAACACAAACTGCCGATGAAGTGGAAAGCAGCATGCGGCAACAACGCTTCCTCTCTTATTTCAGGGATGAAGACCACAACTAAATGAAAAGACAACTTATGCAACAACTGTTAACTTATCAGCAATACCTCTCCCTATCTTTAAGCTCCCAGATATGGATTTAAGCCAATGTACGTACAGACAATTTGCCAGACAGAGGAATTACAGCAAATTTGCACCTACACACAGCTCTGTGAGGCACAGCCCCTTAGAGCAGCTTCCAGTGCTGAACGGG